CTACTGGCCCAGTCCCCTGAAGAATTTTGATTCGAGCATCATGTCTGTCAACCCGATCACTCAGACAGAGATTCAAGACGTCGACTCGCACTCTTTTGGAGATGGACACGCCTTCAAAAGTCAATGTAGTCAGGAGTCAATCTGTCGAGGTGAGACCATGACAAAGGCGTATATGCGCTGTGCTAAAGTCAATGGGAGCGCCGCTTGTCACCATCACCAGTGTTCAAAGAAGCGTTCAGTGCAGGGAGACCTCTTTTGAAAAGAGCACTGAGCTGATCAATGCTCAGCGCAAGATTCAGGCTCAAGTTTGGTAGAGGCCTTGATGTGTACACATCCCACCTGTACATTTTGATTGCTCGCCTGCTTGCTCGTGGGGATTCCGATTGCGCTCGGTTGCTTGCCTTTGTCCACTACTTTCTCATGTGCATGTCTGCCTGTACATTTTGATTGCGCTTGACTGCTCTCCTGTGTACATTTTTTGATCGCTTGCTTGTTCTCCCGCTCACACTGCCAAGGCTCTCGATGTGACTCTGGGGCTTGCGGTTGAAACAACTTCAAAGTGGTGATGATGCAGCACAAGCCAGCATCGCCACACAAGGTCAGTGCAATTTCAGACACAGGATGATGACCCGACCGCCAACGCCCTGACTTGGTCAAGTGGCCATCGCGGAAGGTCCTCAATGCTGGTTCTGCGCAAGTGACAATGCAGCATGGCTCCTTGTGTGAAGCAGACAATGGACGTGCGCACGCCCGCCTACAACGGACCTACGGAACGAGGCAGACGACTACAGTCTGCACAGTATTGGCTGCAGACAAGAACCAAAAGTGGTATCAGGGCAACCTCACTCTGTGTGACTATCCAGCAGCTGACAACAATGTCCAGAATGGCGTCTGCTGTCACTACAATCCACCTGCCTATAGTTGACAATCCATCATCAACTTTTGGCCTCACAGTCTACATCAATGTGTGCCTGCCTTGCACATTGTGATGTGCATCCAAATGATACTGCTTGTGAGTGCTTGTGGTTGCAGAGCAATCAGTGATTTGTGAGGCCAATCATTTGCTTACATGTTGTTGCTTGCTCCAGGCCAATGCGACCATCATCAGGGTGACTTCAGAGCAGGTGGCATTCTACATGTATGCAGAAATGAGCTCTCTTCTGGACGAATTTGTGGTATGTGCAGGAGATCAACCCGTCTTTGATGTGCTCACCAGAGTCAAGGACATCTCTCACTTGCCAGAGGTGCTCTCATCCTCAGACGGTGCAGTCAATAAGCGCCTTGTAAATGGGCAGATCAATTGCCCTTTGATCTGCTTGACAAGGTTGGTCAGCCTTGACTTGTCAAGCTCAGGTTGCGCAAGTACTGGTTGCAGTTGATTTGGCTGGAAAGAGATCTACTCTTTATCCTGGCCATTGATGAAGCAGTGCTCAAGTACAGAAGCCTGCTTGTGAAAGACTACAGCAGGGTAATGTACCTCCAATCTGCTGTACTCTGTGCAGCTGAGAAAGTTGGTTCTGGTATTTTTGCCCTGCTCAAGGACAGCGCAGTGCAGCAACTGCTCAGCAACCTGCGCAAACAGGTGCATCAGCTCTGCCTGCTGAATGAGTCGTTCCACATTTGGCATGGGGATGATGGTGTGTCATTGCTTGGGTGGGACAGTATCATCTGTAGGCTATGTACATGCACGCGCGAGATAGACGCGCATCTGTCACGTGCAACACTCCCCTGCGAGACGGCAAGTGGGGAATGAGGTGTCTCGGATCTATGTTGTGGGAAGGAAATGTTATGGTAATACAGTTGTCTTGACTATTGCAAACCTATTGTAGTAAGGTGGTTTTGAAGGATTTGTTGGTTCACCAACTTGGTGAAGATGTCTGCGAGCATATCTTTGGTGCGGGTAGGGATGAACTCGACCTTGCCAGTCTGGACAACTTCGCGCACAAAGTGGTCGTCGACGCGAATGTGACGATTGCGATAACTCTTCTTTCCATTCGTTGCGGTTTTGACAGCACCTTCATTGTCGCAGTGTACCTGCGCCGGCGCTGAGGCCAGGTGAGGCAATTCGATGTCCTTGAGGAGTTCGCAAATGTGAATGGCGGACTGTGCGGCAGAACCCATTTCCACATATTCTGCTTCAGTCGTACTGTGCGCAACCCTTGGTTGGCGACGTGAACTCCAGACGACGGCGTGTCCTCCAAGCAGGACAATGTGACCAGAAGTAGAACGACTTGTCTCCGTGTCCGCAGAGAAGTCAGAGTTGCAATACACACTGATGCGGGGAGGTGTGCTGGTCGAACGGTAGGCCAGACGCAGGTGCGCAGTCGAACGCGTGTATTCTAGCACGTTGATGAGACTGTTCCAGTGCCCAATTGTGGGGCTGCTTGCGTGGCGGCTGAGCACGCCAAGGGCGTGGGCCGGATCAGGACGGGTTCCAATCATGGCGTACATGAGAGAGCCCAGCAGCTGAAGGTAGGGAACAGGTCCTGCTGGTTCAGTGTTGTTGAGAACTTTGTGGTGAGAGAGAGGCGTGGGGGCTGCTTTGCCCTGCAGGCTTTTGAAACGCTCTGATACCGTGTTCAAGTACGCTTGTTGAGAGAGATAGATGCCAGATTTGTCCCGTGTGATTTGAATGCCTAGGACGTTGCTCGCATTGCCCATATCTTTGATTTTGAAGTGCTTGCGCAAGTCACTTTTGACCTGCTCCACAGCTCGGAGGTCGGACCCCACAATGATGCCGTCGTCGACGTGTATGCCAATATACGTGCGGCTACCATTCTCAACGCGCACAAATACACAGGGGTCAACCACTGACTTGCGGAAACGCAGCTGTTGCATGGCCTTGGTCCAGCACTGAAACCAGTCTAGAGCGCTCGTGCGCAGGCCATAGAGCGCCATGTTCACCTCCAGGCAGTGTCCAGGTTTGATGTTGTAGCCAGGGGGCGGGTGCATGAACACTGGATCACCCGTGCGCGCAGCGTTGAGGTACGCAGTATCGACATCAATTGGGTGCATCGGCCAGTTGTGGTGAGCCGCCAGAGAGCACAAGAGGCGGTGCGAACTCATGTTAGCAACCGGTGCATACGTGTCAGCGGAGTCGGCCTCCTGCTGATCGCCACGTGCGACAACTCTGGCTTTGTACCGATCAACAGTCCCGTCCGCCTTCTTTTTGGTCTTATAAATCCACTGACAATGGATCAGTGGGGTGTTTTCTGGAGTAGGAACTTGGCGCCAGGTGCGGAGCGTCTCCAGTGCAAGGAGTTCGGCTTGCATGGCCTTGTGCCAGTCAGACTTGCTGGGAGAGGCCATGGCTTGTTTGTAGGAGCGAGGGTCCGCTGTGACGGCAAAGTTAGCGGCCAGTCCGTAGGCAAACTCGCCTGAGGGCAGGCGGTTGATGGTCTCTGCGGAGACGTCAAGTTCTTGGGCAACAAAGTTGCGGACCATTCCAGGGAAAACACGAGCTGGGATAGACGGCCTCAAGCTGCGGCGAGGTGGCTCGGAGACCACTGTGGGTTGTGGTGCAGCCAGGGTAGTTGTAGGTGGGGTGTCGGGCTTGATGACA